GTCCCCATTGTCAACCCTGGTTTAGTCCTGGTTTAGTCCTGGTGTAGCTCCTGTTTTGGCTGTTTACAGTATGTTCAGTCTGCTCGCTCAGACCACTAATGTCCCCGTGCCCACTTTGCAGCTCTCTGATTGGTTGCTGCACGAACGTCCCGAGGAAAGGTTGAGAAAAATTCATCTCCTGCGTTCCTCCCCTTCGACTTCCCGCGCAGTCCGTGCGTGCATTCCGAGACGTTTGTGCGTTTTGACGCTCGAACGCGCATCACCATTGACTTTGCATTGAAAGCCGATGCAACGCATGATCTGGTCTGAACGCGGCATGATGGGATTTCATAAAATGAATCTGAGGATAAAATAATTGTATGTGTTTATAATCCATTTAATATAATTATGTTTATGGTAAAGTCCTGGTTCAATTCTGACTGATACATGGTTTAGTCCTGGTTTAGTCCTGAGACCTGGTTTAGTCCTGGTTTAGTCCTGAGACCTGGTTTAGTCCTGGTCTAGTTGTACCCTCACTGTCACTTTTGAATGCTCATTTCTCTGTGATGGCGTGTGATCTACAGCTCACACCAAACTAAAACTCCATCACACTGTCTGTAAAGCCTCCTCAGGCTCATCTGTGGTACCACCTGTATGTGGAAGCTCTGTCTTGTCAGATCTCAGCAGGATAATCTCTGATTAGTAATGTGAAGGGAGACCAATCTGCTTTTAGAGTGTCAAGTTACATTTTTGGAGCTGGTGTGAAACAAGGACAGAGAGGAAAAGATCCCAGTTTGTAATGTCAGGTTTGGCATATCCCGACCTTTTAATCAGCCGGGGTGTTGCACAGTCACGAACCCCACTGGAGATAATCGAGAGCCAAAGTATAGCTTACAGTAACGGCACGAGAATATAATTAAATTAATTTAAACTAAGCAAACCACTTGTGTGAGGCTGGAGGCGGAGAAGGCTGCAATCAGAGAGGGGCTTCACGTGCCACGGATAGTGAAAGTAAAGGGCCAGCTCGTAGTTAAAACCAAACGGATTCTTTAAAGGTGCATTCAAGGAAACTCTGTAAATGTGTGTTGCTTCCAGGTCTTATAGATAATGCCCTGTAATCAACAAACATGCAGCTGTTGATTTAGAGAGTCATGAACGTCAACTTTGCAGCTCATTAGCAAGTCTTCGACCTCGACAGTACAGCCCTGTCCATGCGTGCTCAGGATGTACAGTTTCTATGTGTTCTGATTGCTAACATGTTGACATGCTAATTGTGTTGACATGCTAATTGTGTTGGGGCTAACCGGGATAAGGTTCATCCCAAGAGACTAAAGCAACACATGCTTGTAAACTAATTGGAAAAGTTCTGGAATTCTGTCCCACCTGATCTCCGCTATATCGATGCCTCCCATTATTCAAATCACCACTTGAGTTTTACTTACTGAGCTCTGGCTATTTATTTTTAGGTATTGAGGAGGCCTATTGTTTTTTCCCGGTTTCATATTATTATTATTCACTATTTTTCCACCAAAACCATTAGATTTTTTACCCTGAAGACATGCACGAATGTCTGCACACGCGGGTCTAAAACAACCGGTTCGGCAAAACATTTGATAAAATGAACGTTTCCAGATTGTCCAACGCTCGCCGACTCTAAAACGCCCCCCCGACATTTCACTTTTTTTCAACAGGAAGTCGCCCATGATGGCCTGAAGCTTTGCCGAAAATCGCTGAGTGTAATCTCTGGACCAAGACGAGCAAAAGATTCCATCACGCAAAAGTTGTAAGTCCCACACTTGACCACTGGGGGCGCCGCAAAGTGAATGAATGAGCTTTTTGGGGCAAAATGTTTGTCCGATGAGGCTAGAAATGAATTCACAAATACAGCGTATGACTCTGAACACAACGATATGCAACACACAACTGAGAGTGCAACAGCTCCACCTACAGGCAGTTCAAGGTGTCGCATTTTTGGCTTCGTACTAGTCCCTGGATTTTCATCGCACAGACTTCTACCTTGTCATTTCTCCATCTGGACGGATTGAAGTTATATAATCATCGCAAAAAAGTTAACATTTCGTCATCGTTTTCATGCAAGGCGGTGGGGAATTTCTCCATATTTGATGCTTTCCTGACCACAGTCTCAGACCTACAGAGCTGAAACTCACATCACTAACAGTTGGAAATGGCCTGAGCGCAATGGTGTGTAAATACACACCTAATGTGACTCTACAGCGCCACCTATGGATGGTTTCTGACCTAAACTTTTCAGATCCTCACCAAAGTTGCACAATCAAATCTTTACACTAGTACGAGCAAAATACTACTCTACGTAGAGGGTGCATGTCTCGGACGTGACATGCACAAGTACGCCGCGTGACGCTTGTGGGACTGGCGCCCGGGAGGCGGTTGCGAGAGTGGCGAGGCCTTCCATTGCGGCTTTAATTTCAATTACTTTTATACCCATAATTCTATACTTCTCACAAAGCTGCATCACAAAGTGTGCCCTATTAGTTAATAATGGTTAGCAATGCTTCCAAGTTAATTCATTTGTTGTTGCTAGCCCATGGATCTATAATAATATCTGGCCGGGGTATTACTAGCTTATAGCTGTCCGACCAACGGGCACAGTGGTCGACCGTGGTACTGCAGACAAAATTCATGCGGGCTACCCATAAAAAAAGTCCCATAGAACTCAAAGTAAACTAAAACAGCTCGACCTCAGCTGACAGAGAACCTACAGCTTTCATAAAGTTTGGATTTTGTGGGGATTTTAGTGTAGCCTGACTCTCGCCAGACCCTTGTAATTCCGCCATGCTCCACCAGAGGCGTTTGGCTGAAGACAAGGATCTGGGATCGACGCAAAAAGCAAACTCCTTCAGGAGATCAGAAAATAATCACCCAATCAGGATCACCGGTGTAACGTCGGGTTAGGAAAAAAAAAGTTTAAATACGAACGGATTACGACACGGATGGCACTTTTAATGAAATTGAAGGCGAGATGTGGGTTCCATGTTGTTGTGAGTGTGTTTTAAGAGTAAAATGTTTGTGTAAAGTGGTTTAAGTGCTCCTGTTGCAACACTACACAGCAGGATTGTCAGGTTGGGTGGTTTCCCGCATACTTTTTTTCCAAGCAACTTGTAGGTAATGAATAGACAGAAAGACAATAAACAGAATCATGGTAGCCCAAGTTGATCGCATTAAGTTTTTAGCCAAAAATAATTCTGGGTGTTTTTTTTTTTTTGGGCATTCTCGCGGGTTTTGTGGTTGGAAAATCTTGCCGCATTTGGCAATCCATGGGAGTCGTGTGCTGAATTGTGTGCTTCGATGTGAGTGATTGAAAGAACACATCGTTCCAGAAAACAGACAAGTGATTTTTTTTACAATGCCCCGCCTTCTGAAATTCATACGCTTTGAAGCAGACCCAGACCCTTGTGTGAAGCTCAGCGAACTACAAGGGTCTGGCGAGACTTAGGCTAATTTTAGTGTCCCTTGTCATCCTGAACTTTTTTCTTGTTTTCTTGTCCTTCGGTTGTCTATAAAACTACACTTTAGTTCAACAAACTCTGCTCATTTGGCTCCTGCTCTAAATCCGCTCTAGTTTCGCTCTGATCAACAGCTCTGATTGGTCAAAGCGCGGCCGAGCCCCTCTGTGCACGTCCATGTCTGTGTCACAGACATTTGCACAAGTGTGCTAATCTTTTCAGCCCCCATGCCGTCACAAAGCGCCACTGAGCACAACCATTCATTTGAATAGGGCGCCATCTTGGATCGTCGGGGCTTGGGATGACCTCTGGGACAAGGTGGCATCAGTCTGGGCATTTAGGGATTCTAGTAATTTTAGCAGCACAACAAAGACCACGCCAACACTGAAATTTCCCCATGTGGGACAAATAAAGCATCTCTTCCTCTTAGTCACCATGGGGATGTGTGAATATGAAAATAGCTTTGAGAATGATACATTTGATGCAAAGGAAATTTAAAAGAATATTACAATATTTATTCACTTTGAATGCAATAAACGAATCAGTAGTTTCAATATTATAGTCGTTCATTAGTTTCTACACAGAATATATCCGTAATCACAAATCCTCCCGCTCTGGTCCTGACCACGCACTGCCGGTGACCACTGCCCCTGACAGAGGCCCGAGAGGCACTACAGGATGGGTCAAAGGCAGAGGACAGATTTCCCCAGGGGGACAATAAAGGACTTACTAATAATTGTGTAAATTAATTAAGAAATGCCTTAGGTATATAACACATATGTAAACAACACAGTTTACTATGACTCAAGAATAAAAACAAAAATATCTTCCTTATTAAAAAAAAAAAGATAATATTTCAGGTTAATGTCAGCTCAATTCTCTTGACTGTTCAATCATGTAATGCCACATTGAAATGCAAAGAACTCGCTGTGTGGCATGTCCTGTGTCATGTACTTCTCCTCAGTTGTTTTAGAGAATGTTTAAGTGTTTTAATTTATTTTCTAAAATGCACTTTTTGGATTTGTGTATTAGTTGAGCTGTTCACATTTCTATATTGGTCTAGTTCACTTTAACTGGACCAATTCTGGTTCACTTTGGGCAGAGGTGTCCAAACCAGTCCAGAAAGGGCCGCTGTGGCTGCAGTTTTTCTGTCATACCTAGCAGGAGCAGAGCAGACTCCTCCCATTTCCTCAAATCTTCAGGAATCTTGAACTCACTTGAGGAAATGGATGGAGTCTGCTCTGCTCCTGCTGGGTCTGATGGAAAACCTGCAGCCACAGCAGCCCTTTCTGGACCGATTTGGACACCTCTGACTTTAGGCAAGTTATTTATTTGTGAATGTAAAGTCACCACACTAGTAGGTCCACAGATTAACTCTACATAAGCCTTTTCCCCAAAGTGAACCAGACTTGGTCCAGTTAAAGTGAACCAAACCCACAGGAGCAAAAGCCGGGTCAGTGGACAGATGAAGATGGATGTGTTGTGTGCAGGATCTGTGAGGACTACATCGCTAAGACCGTGCAGAGCTGTGACTCGCTACACTCCCAGGTGCCTCTGCTCCCGGACTCGCTGCAGAGAGAGGTTCGCAAACGTATGTGCTTCTACAGAGCGTCCAGGAAACACCACTGACCCTGAGGAGAAACCCACTCCAAGAAGTTCTCCGTACTCAGCTCTCTGGACACGGCCTTTGTCACCGCCGTATTCAGTCTGCGGAGGTTTCTTACTTTTCCACAGATCAAACTTCGTAAGACCAAGGCGTGGACATCAACTGGCCAGAGGATAGGTACTGAAGAGAGCACACTTAGCAAGTTTTTTAACATTTCACCTGCAGTTTCAGCATAGAGAAGAAGTCACTTTGCAATCTGCAGGAGATCATCTGGGTGTTTGAATTGAAACTGTCCAGGCCCCAAAAGGAGAAGTACATTCTGAAATACTGTGGGTTTTCTCGTCCTTTTAGACCAGTTCGGACAGCGACTGAACGGACCTATAGTTCTGACCTTCTGTTCTCGTTATGGTCCTGTTGTTGGTTTTCTCGATGTCCCTTTAAAATATGTGATCCAGTGTCTCCTTTAACCAAAATGTGAGGACCGAGGACAGGGTTGTAAAGAGGAGGTACAGGCTTCGATCCGTCTTTGACCAGAAATGGCGGATTAAGCGTGGACTGTAGAAGTGTGGCGTGGACAGAGCGAGCTGCCGCCGCGTGCCAAAATGGAAGCGCGCATGGGTGAAAATATAGAATCCTTGTGTTTCTCATTTACATTTGACTTTGGAAAAACAGACATGACCCTTAATATCTGACCAATAATGTCTTTGATAACCTCCCACAGTTTTGACCGGTAGCAGCTAGCCAAACCGAACCTCACCCATGGGAAAGTGAATGCTATGATGACACTTTGCTTCCAAGCGTTTCTTTTTGACAGATTTATCTCATGCTTACTTTGGTCACTTTGTCTTTTCACTATGCAATATAGCAGGGATGTAACAACCAACAGAATAGTGGATTTTGTCCCTTAACATTATAGAGTTAACCCATACTTTACTGTCCCTGTAGGAAAACCTTAGGGATTAGGAGGTAGAATGAGACCCAGAAAAGCCTGTGTATGTCACAGTGCATTGCAAAAGTTTGAATACAGTGTTTTGAAAGGTGCACCTGTGACCAGTGCTGGCCTCGGTCGAGCAGTGAGTTTGGGAAGTGTAATACAAAATTTGATTTTGTGATGTAATACAAAATAACATTTTATAATCATGTGTGAAACGTAAGGAAAATGCGTTAAATAGTGATCTTGATGGTCAGTAATGTGATTTAATAAAGTGTAATGTGATTTAAGGTGATTTATGTAACATTATGCTAACTAGATTAAAGTTCATTAAAGTGTGTTAAAGTTCACGGCAAGGAAAGATCATATATGCTTAAGAACTGGGCCAAAGTTCAAGTAACTGGGTAAAAGTTCATTCCTTTGCGCAGCCTCTCTGCTAACTGGAGGAAAGTTCAAATAACTGGGTAAAAGTTCATTTCTCTGCGCAGCCGCTGTCCTAACTGGGGGACAGTCCATACAAGCAGGAGGACCAAATATGTACATCCTTCCTGCCATGACCATATATGCATTTCCTTCCTTGCCCATATATGTACATGTACTTCCTGAATGAGGTCAGCCTTAATGCTGAGGGGGCTTTCCGCTGCTTGAAGGCTGCATGCGCTATAAAAAGGAAGACTCCGAGAGAGTCAGTCAGTCGGGCAGCGCGCAGCGCAGACGAGAGCAGCCGGAGGCTTTCATTCAGGGGTCCTTGTGAGAGAGACTTGTGGCGCGAGACCTTTGTAACTCTGTAAACTTGGATTGACGATTTGCTTGCTTGGCTTTAAATAAAAGTCGCCCCGACTCACGAAAGACAGCTTTTCCGACTCCGCTTCACACTTTCTGAAAACCTTCCTTGAAGAACGCTTGGACAGGGCAGGGCGGCCCTAGGCTGAGGTGAGTAGTAAAAGTAGACTGATTTTGGTATATCGCACCTAGAGCTTCTGCTTCTCTACGGATTAGCCACACCAAGGGGAAAAACGTTAGGCAGGGACAAAACTTAGCTAGCCTTAGACCCAGCACGAGGCAGGTCGGGACTAGCGCTACAGAAAGCCAGGCCCTACCAGGGAGTCTGCGTTATAGAGCAAGGTAAAGGCGCCTCCTAGGGTTAGATCCTGAAGAGACGCTGGTTCCTCACTCGCTCCGATTACATGGCGCCCGAACAGGGACATGACTAAGATCCAATCCACACCGACAGGTATGATACTGTAAGGTTAACGCATTGGTACCTTGGCAAGATTGCCCTCGAATTAAAAAATAATAAAAATAAAAATAAAAATAAAAGAAATACCCAAAAATTTAATATACAGCGTGTGCCCGTAAACGCTAGAAGCCAAGGAGGAAGCGTTGGAAGAGATCTCCGTAAGTACCGCCGGTCAGGAACTGGTCTCGCGAATTCTAACGTGTGCCTGTAAGCGCTATAAGCCAGGGAGGAAGCGTTGCGAATTAGGAATCCGTGAAAATAGAAAACAGTGTTGTCCGAGGAAACACTGGACTAAGCGCTATAAGCCAGGGAGGAAGCGTTGCGAATTAGGAATCCGTGAAAATAGAAAACAGTGTTGTCCGAGGAAACACTGAGCAGCCAGTCTGATACTAGAATAAGCCGCTAGCATTGGACGTGAAACCTTGTAACGTGTGCCCGTAAGTACCGCCGGTCAGGGAGGAAGCGTGAAATTGGCTACCAGAAACGGTTGAGGAGAATTCTGTCCTATCAGGCTTAACAGTAGCGGCCCTATCCGAAACTGACCTGATCAAACAGGAGTAGGATACACCGTGCCGTGACCTAAAAGGCGTATAGGCGGTCACCTATACAAGCCGCGCCAGGGGACAGGAGGACCCTAACTGAACAATCTGAGCTCAAAATACGGTTACTGGCAGGTGTGACGCAGTAACCCAGTGGGGATTTCTGGCCCTGCCTCCCTTATCCAGGAATAGTGGATAAGAGAGTTACCCGCATTGCGCCGGGAAAAAACTGCGCTGGGACGGTCAGAATATCCCTTTAACTGCGCTGGGACGGTCAGAATATCCCTTTAACTGCGCTGGGACGGTCAGAATATCCCTTTAACTGCGCTGGGACGGTCAGAATATCCCTTTAACTGCGCTGGGACGGTCAGAATATCCCTTTAACTGCGCTGGGACGGTCAGAATATCCCTTTAACTGCGCTGGGACGGTCAGAATATCCCTTTAACTGCCTGGGACGGTCAGAATATCCCTTTAACTGCGCTGGGACGGTCAGAATATCCCTTTAACTGCGCTGGGACGGTCAGAATATCCCTTTAACTGCGCTGGGACGGTCAGAATATCCCTTTAACTGCGCTGGGACGGTCAGAATATCCCTTTAACTGCGCTGGGACGGTCAGAATATCCCTTTAACTGCGCTGGGACGGTCAGAATATCCCTTTAACTGCGCTGGGACGGTAAGAATATCCCTAAAATCCACGCCCGTGTCGTGTAGTAATCGCCTTAGGGACGGTCGAGAATATCCCTGAAAACATATCTGCGTAGTGATTAGATAGAGTAACGAGTCTGATATAACTATGGCGGATGAACTCCCCAGCTTCATGCAAACCCAAGCCCGAAGAATGTCTACGGGCGGACTGACTGACATAATTGACATCAACCCACCGCGAAGAACGCTCAATCCTAAAATGCATCAAATAGGAAGTTGGAAACTGATAAGGTGTGACCTGGGACATCAATTTATAAACTCAATGGTAACCGGGGATGCTACCCTGTTTAACCCACGCAACCCACAAGGTAGAGATGGGGCAGGAGTGGCAAAATGGGTTGCTACCCATTTCCCCAAAACAATGCAAATGGTTCATCAAACCAAACCAGAGGAAGGTTGGCCTGAGGGATTCTGCTCAATAGACGCGGTCCATCAGGACGAAGTTGGTCATAGTAATATAGTTAAATTAGCGAACGGGTATTATAACCCATATGATGATGAACAACTCCCAATGCTTAATGAAGAAAAGCTAAGAAGAATCCTAAGGCGCTTGTTTGGTAAACTAACAACTAGGGACGCCATTGTGACCACATGGGGTGACGGGCAGTACCGATACCCCGTAGATATGGCACAAGGGTGCATGGCCCAAGCAGGGGTTGAGTGGCTAGCAAAGCTACCTAGAACGGGAAAAACTATAATATGGATTCTAAATTCAGAGCAGAAATACAACGACGCTCTCAATAGACTTGCAGACATGTATAACCTAGATAGCGTTGAAGACGCGTATGAGCTGCGGGACCCCGGGACGATAGGAGGACCCATCCAGTAGGGCTAGAGGACATACCAAGAGGGTCTGATCCTCCGCCCTACCCTCATGCGCAAAACGATGAGCTTGTAGAACTTACAAAACAGCTACAGGAACTTAGTGGGCTGACGCCCGCGTCAGCTATAGCGAAGGAAGCTAATAGTATAGTAAATGCAATAACAGCTCCCACGGCCCCTGCAATGGAGGATTGCGAGAGAAATGATGAACGATCGTGGGAGCCGATTCGCGCAAGCATGTATCCCCGCCTTCGAGGGGAGATACCTAGCATAGTACCGCTGAATGAGCATTCGGGGAGCTCAGGAAGCACTTGGACCGCATTCGGGGACCAAGATGACCAGGATAGTGATAGCTCTGATGAAGAAGAGGAAAGCCCATCGGGCGCTAACAAAATAGATAGTGGCCGCGAACTAGTTGAATCCGATGAAGATATAGAGGAGAACCCCATAGGAGACGACGAGGACCGCCCGGTTAGGGAATTTTCGAGGCAACACAGTGAGGACAGTTATAGGGAATTACCTATGACATCGGGAAAGTCTAGAAGATACAGTACATTACTCGAGGAGTCTGTACATGAACTTAGTAGGATGGCTGAGGAATGTGCAAACATTGATAGAATTCTGAAGCAAACCCCGCCAGCTCCGGAGGCTAGGAGGGAGGACCCGTTCACGCCCTCCGCGGCGAGGCAACCTCGTCTCACCCGAAAAACGCAGAGTAGGGATGCACAGACCCAAGTTACGGGAACAAGTAATATCGCTCAGAGAGCAAGGCCTATAGTACAGCAGGATAGGGTACCGATAGCCCCAATGCCTAATCTAGACGAGCCGGAAGACGAAGACGCAACGGAGGATACGTGGGCTGTCAAGATCGGAAAAAGGATACTGACAGTCATCGCAACCACCTCGGCAAAATGGAACCCTGATGGGTCATCGTATATAGTTATCGCGGCAAATATGAATGAAGACAACAAAAACTTCACTGCTATAAGACGAAAGGTATCCGCTGCGAAGTTCAACGAACAAAGGAACCATAATTCCCTAGTGAGAATAGGAGGATTCGTACGTGAAGATCCGTGGAG